CAATATTCCATACACTTTGAAACCGGATTAATAAAAATTTTTACAGATCCTGTACTTTTTCATCTCTTCTCATCTTTAAAACACGAAATACATGATTCACATTTAGTATTATATGCGTTTCCTTTCTTCTTAAAACATATAAAAAAAAACTACTCAAACATTTGATAAAAATCATGAAATAAACAATCTTCAATTTCATCTTTTCCTTTCTCATCTTACGTGAAAATTAAGAAAGTCCCACAAAAAATATTTGGTAATAACGAAGAAGTAAGTGCGGGTAATCGGTTCCACCAGACTGTTTCAAATCGGACTAATCGAGGATTTTATAGATTCTTTACTTTTTCAACACATTTCATCTCGAAATACATGATTTACATTTTGAATTACATGCATTTCCTTTCTTCCAATATATATATAAAAAAACTACTATAAACATTTCTTAATAATCATGAAATAAACAATCTTCAATTTCATCTCTTTTATTTTCTCATTTTAATTAAAGTTCGAAATTATTTAGAAAAAGGATTATAGAAAAACAATGTTAAATATGTATTAATAATCAAAAAGTAAACATAACTTAACAATACCTCACATAGTGCGAATATTTGAAACCGGACTAATCGAGATCTTTAAAAATAAACAACAAATAAAAAAGTTTTTCTTATTTATTTTTTATATAAAATTTGACAATATTTTTTTAAACATTTCATAATAACCATAAGTATATCAACTTGACTGTACAAATTGAAAAAAAAAAACAATAATTTATGTTTAATTCAATAATTTTGCGTACTGATTAATTTAGTTTGTTTTGAAATTTTCATGACCGGAATATAGTGAATCCGCACTGATCGAAGTAAGCGAGATTTTGCTGTATTTTTTTTTAAACAAATGATATAATCTTGATATTCATCTTCTTTTGTTCATTTTACTTAAAGATACACTTTGAAACTGGACCTACCGAAAATTTTATAGATTCTGTACGTGTTCATCTCAATTTATGTTTAATTCAATAATTTTGTGTACTAATTAATTTAGTTTGTTTTAAAATTTTCAAAACAGGATTATAGTGAAACCGCACTGATCGAAGTAAACGAGATTTTGCTGTATTTTTATTAAAAAAAAATGATATAATAGTAATAAGAAATGTGAAAATAACAACATTTATTACAACAAATTTTTCAATTTTATTCCAATTATAGATCGAAAAAATGAGAAATTAAAAACATATTATTGCATAATTGACATTTCTTTCAAGGATATGCATTGAAAAAAATATAAAATGTATTTTACTTTTTTTATTATTAATTTTAATTTATTTGGAAAGTTGATGCTGTTGTAAACCGGAAATAGAGAGATTCCATAGAGACTAGTACGTATAATATTTAGAATAGTAATAATCTTGTTTACAAAATGAAAGCTTTTGCACCAGATATTTCAATTAAAATGAAATTGTGATGTTATTACATGTGGAACGTTTCGAGAATAATTAATCATCAAAGACAGGAAATCGACAGTATTATTAACACATTTCTATATTGATCCATAAAGATCTTCCTGTCTATATATTAAATTATATAAAAAACATGTATATTTGAAATACTCATCACAAAAAATGAATCCAATTTTTCTTAACTTAAATTTATTTAAAAATCAAATAGGAATTGTTTAAAAATTTTATACTTACTTTGCATTCAAAGAAAGAATTAATTAAGGAATTTAAGAACATTTCAAGATTAAAAATCAAAGATTGATATACAAAATTATTGATTTACTTACTGAGAAATTTGACAACACTGAAAGAATTATATGATTTTTATAATTTGTTTTATTTGTATTTAATGTATGGTTTTATAAAATCTTTCGTTTAAGAAAAAATTACCAAAAAAAATAATAAATTTGTTCAAAATTTCAAATTTACTTAATATTTGATTTGACTCTTAAAACCACATATAAAAAAACTAGTTTATTATACTTACATCTAAAATAAATCATCTTTTAACTAATATAATCGGATTAAACTCAATTCTTTTTTTTTATACATTAAACACTAACTTTTACATCCAAAAATTTCTAATTTTTTTTTTATATTCTTGCGAAAACATTGTAAAAATAATATGAACAAATTAAACCAATAATAAATTTTGTCTATAAGTCATAAAAATGTAAACGTTTCAAAAAATTGAATCGAATTTTATTGATTTTAAAATGTGTAACGTTAGAAATGAAATGAGATCACAAGTCGTAATTAATAGGTGCTTTAATGATGACACATATTCTCGTTAATTAAAAAAGATTACGTCGCATCCACATCCAAAGTGTGTCATATGGTGCATCATTACGTAATTTTAATTATTATTATAAAACTTATATATTTTATCTATGGGAAATAATTAGTTTATCTGAATGGAAAAAATGCATTGTTTTGCATGTTTCTATAGTAAAAAGAGTAATTAGTAAATATAATAAGGATATATCAATGAATATATATATAATAATTTCATAATTCAATCTATTAATAAGCAATTAAATTAATACATTTATTAAGCCTAATATTTCACACATTAATTAGCGATTTTTTTATATAAATACTCAAATTAATAAAATTAGCAATAAACCCAAAATAAACCCATTAAAAAGAACATTGTTTTATCTTTAATTTGTATATTAAATTTTGTAATAAGTAAACGTAGTTTTTGTGAAATTAAATGAAAAGTGAGGACGTAAAAATCAATTTGAAAAATTGCCTCAGTCATTAATTTATTATGATAATTATGAACAATTATATTACTCAATCTAAAAGTGCTTCTGATTATATAAGAAAACCAATGGAAAATATTTTTTTTTTATTTTTGAAAAAATTCAAAAAAAGCTGAAATTTTATAGTCTATTACAAGAAAATTAGAATTAACATTGATTATTTGTAAAATTTGTACTGTTATGTTTAATTAGCATATTATTTTAAAGTTATCAGGTAATACGTGAAAACAATGTATTTTAAAATTTGACAGCGTATTATAAGAAAGCAATGAATATTATGAATTTTTTGATTTGTTAATTAAAAAGAACGTAGATTTATCTTTGATTGGTTTATTGAATTATGTAATTTATACCTGTTGTTATCGAGTAATTAGATAAACCGTGAAGGCACTACGTTACCAAATTTGACTACTTCTCACACGAGAATGGTGAATGCCACAAATCTGTAAGTAAGTTCGTTAGAAAGAATGTAATTTTATCTTTGATTTACAAATATAATTATGTAATCGACAATTGCAGTTATCGAGTAATTAGATGAAACGTGAAGGCACTACATTACAAACTTAGACTGCTACCACAAATCTATCAGAATTCCAACTTTGTCTGCTTTTTATACGAGAAAGTTGAATTATACAAAACTATCAACGGATTCATTAGAAAGAATGTAGTTTCATCTTTGATTTGTAAGTTTAATTATGTAATTGATATTTGAAGTTATCGAGTAATTAGCTGCAACCTGAAGACATAACGTTACCAAATTTGACTACTTCTCGCAAGATAATGGTGAATACCATATATCAATCAGTAGGTTCATGAGAAAGAACATAGTTTTATCATTGATTTGCATATTTAATTATGTAATTATCATTTGTGGTTATCGACTAATTAGATGAAACATAAAGACATTACGATACTAAATTTTACTGCTTCTTAGAGAGAATAGTGAACATCAGAAATCTATCAGATTGCCAACTTTGTCTGCTTCTTATACGACCAAGTCGAATACCACAAATTTATCAATGGTTTTTGTGAGTATCTTTGATTTGCAAATTGAATTATGTAATTGACATTTGTGG